ATGTGCTCTGCCGTGCTGGGGCCAGCCTCGTCCGCCAGTCACTTGCGCGAACGTCTGAACGAACTCACCTGGACCTTTTTGGAGGCTGGGTGAAACATCGTGTGGCCGTTGTGTATCGGCCGGTGTTTATTGCTGCTGAGACTGTTCCGCGTGATGTCGTTGCTCAATTGGTTGAGTACGTCGCGTATAGTTTTTCCGTTTTGGGCCTGCAAAACTCGACGATTGCTAGTCACCTGTCCGCTGTTAAGTTTTTCCATCGTGTGTCGGGTGAAGGGGAGCTTGATACGCAGCATCCGCTGATACGTTGTGCTTTACGTGGAGCGGCGCGGGGGCATGCCGACGTGGGAACACAGCAGCGGTTGAGGCGGCCGGTGTCTTGGGCGATGTTGCAACAGGGGAGTTCGTTGGTGCCTCAATGGGGCGTAGGCGGGCGTGTTTTGTGTCTTGCGCTGAGTGCCTCTTTCTTCTTTCTGACGCGAGCATCTGAGATGTTTGCGGTGTCGAAATTGTCCATGCATGAGGTTCATGGGTTGCGTCGGGGGGACGTAGCGTTTTTTCGGGGGGCGGTCCAGCTCTTGCAGTCGGCGCAGTGGCCGTTGGCCGATCGCGTGGAGGTACGTTTTCGTTCGTCCAAAGGGGACCAGTTTCGGAAAGGGGCGGTTTGTACGCGTACACGGCAAGGTCCGTACCGTGGAGTCGACCGAGCGGGTGGTGCAGTGGATGTCATGGTGGAGCTGCTTTCTCTGTATACGTTTCTGCCTTCGCATGCGCCTCTAGTGGCTTTTGGTGTTGGTCGGGGCCAGTGGGCCATGTGGACTAAGTGTCAGGCTGTTGTGGCCCTTCGCCAAGTGGTTGCGTTGGCGGGTTTGCAGCCCGAGGAGTACGCGCTGCACTCCCTTCGTATTGGGGGCGCAACTTTCTTGGCGGCGGGGGGTGCATCGCCGGAGTTTCTTCGTGGAGAAGGGCGATGGTCGGGGGAGAGTAGTTACCAGTGTTATGTTCGGAATGTTGGGGGTGATGCTTCGTGGGTGTCAGAGGTGTTGGCGAACAAGGAGAAGGTGACTACACAGCCAGGGCAGGGTACCCGATGGGGTGACGTGTGAAGGGGTTCTGTGGCGCGTGGCGTATGTCGAGGTCCTTGTCGTACCGATGTTATTTTGCTGTACATTGTGTATGCCGTATATATTGTGTGTCGTACATAAAGTGTGTTTTGCATACATGTATGCGATATATGTTGCGCATGAAAAAAGGGGGGGGGGGCGTACTCATTTGTTGCTTGCCGTAGTCATTTGACCATTGACCACGCGTCCCTTTCGAGACGGAGCACCGTTCCTACACCTACTAGAGACACCACCAACATTTGGGAGCTCTTTACGTTTCTGCCACAAACTCCATAAAAATTTCTTGCACATCTTATCCCCGTCCTCTAGGGCCTCTTGTGCCCACCATCTATCCCCAATTATCGCGATCGTTTTTTCGCTACTGTCTAATTTACCAAACTTCTCCATGTCACACCCTCTCTGTCTCATTTCCTCCTCGAGATCCTCTCTTTCCTTCCTGTACAACTCACACTCCCCAACTATGTGGGGTCTACTCTCCTCCGATTTGCCACATGGACATGTGTGTCTATCCTCCTCTTCCTCTCTCCTACGGCTGGTATACCTCTTCCTCCGTTCTGGCAAGTCCAGATCGCCTACTCGAAATTGCAATTTCAGCTTTTTCGCATAGTCCATGGGGCCGTCCAAGTACTTCTTCATCCCTATCCCTTCTTTCAACTTCCCGTATATCTCCAAGTGGTCTTCGCTTCGTACCTTCTTCCGAAGGGTTGTCTCCTCCCTACTCTCTAGCATTTCCTTGACTTTCGTCTTGAACCCCCCGAACCCTTCCGTGTCCAACGTCTCCTCCTCGTCTCCTATCTCCTTCCAAACCTTCTCTACCACCTTGTCCCATCTGATTCCCTTCTTCCCTGGAGTCGCTTTTCCCCAAGCTGCCTCGTCAACCATGGCTGGTAGTCTATCGTCCGACATTCTACTTACCTTGTACTGCCACTTCAACTTCTGCATGTCTCTCTTTGTTTTAAGAGAGTACATTCCCAATTCTGCTCTCAATACGGGGGGGGATCAGTATGGCGCACCAGCCTTAGGTTTGGGGGCAGACAGAGTTTATATGTTTCTGTCCGTTGGGTGGCTGATGTTTATACTGATCGTAAGGAGTAGACCGGGGGCGTGTGTGGTGTGTTGCCCTGCCTGGTCTTCGCTCTTTTCCCCTCCCCCTTGGCGAGCAAAGGGGGTACGCAAAATAATGACAAATTTCGAAAGCATCGAGAAAAGCGAAAGATTGACTGACGAAGTAAGGGAAATCTGCGTTTTGTGAGAAGCGGCAGAAATAAACCGGTGGCCAATAAGAAAGCAGGAAGTGGACGAGTGTGTTGATTCCTGTTTTCAGTATACTCGCTTCGCCGTGTTTACCGCGGGCGAGCGAGAGCACGTGTGTGTGCTTGTGGTGGCCAAGGGTTGTTTCTGCCGTGACGTTTCTTTTTCCCACCCACCCACCCTTGCTTTTGGGGGTGTCAGTGGACATGGAAATCGGAGCGGCGGCGTTGTGTCCAATGTGATTGCCTGTCGGGGGGATTCACTGTGTAGCCGCAGTCGGGGTCGCGTGTGCCTGTGCTGGGCGCGGTTCCGAGGTGCTCGTCCCATTTCATTTTTTTTTTTTTTGAATGGGATGTGTGTGTATCGCATTTACTTCAGGTTGATATATGCAGGACGCATGTTGGTGTGTGTATCGGACCGTTGCACGGTTGGGGGAGTGCACTCTGGCTGCTGTGTGTGGCTGCGTTGGTGCTGCGCGCTTCCCCGTTACGTGCGTTACGAGTCTGATTGATTGGTGGACACCCGTATATATTATATGATTAATTGTACGTGGGGTCCTGGCGACATGTGTGTTTTTTTCTGCAGTGCGATGGAGTGTCAGGGGAACAGAGAGTAGCGAGAGACGGGAAAATGGTTTTTTCTTGGTGGCCCGAGTGTTTCGCCGAGTGGCGATGTTAATTAATGTTGATGGGCCTTGTGGGGTTCTCTCGTGGTTTCAGTATGAACAAATTGGTGTGGTTATCAGGGTGGCAGACAGAGTTTATATGTTTCTGTCCGTTGGGTGGCTGATGTTTATACTGATCGTAAGGAGTAGACCGGGGGCGTGTGTGGTGTGTTGCCCTGCCTGGTCTTCGCTCTTTTCCCCTCCCCCTTGGCGAGCAAAGGGGGTACGCAAAATAATGACAAATTTCGAAAGCATCGAGAAAATCTGCACTTCTCTCTCTCCCGCTCGCTCTCGCTCTCATTTTTTTTTTTTGGCGCAAAAAAAAAATCTGACAGTCCAGCCTAGACCCAAAGGGGTTAAGGACACTCTCAAGAGGGAAGAACCATGTGTGTCCGTAAGCAAGGTTTGACTGCTGTACGGAGCCGTGTCAAGCCGTTCGAGAGAGTTTTCGGGAACGGGTGTGTGCACATGGACCCCGCATCAATCTTGTACCATCCTATACTCTTCGTATGCATACAACATTTGTCCATTTGTGATCAATTGTTGCCTTCACATGACAGCAGCCGTAGATAGAAAAACCGTTCCGATCTCTGTGCCAAATATGCGTACCCTTCCAACGTATGCATATGTATGTGTGGTCCAACGAAATTGCGGCTGGCATTTTGCCTCGCCCACTATGTTCATCCTGCCCCACAACAGAACATTGTAAATGGGGCCGTCCTAGCTATACCTGGCACCAGGGGGCGTGCCGAAACTTTCCGGTCGTTCGCCTTGATGCGGGATACAGCAGTAATAGTAGGGCGACAAAATATACACCCATACCTGGCGACTGACTCACATGGTTCTCTGTGAGCATGTTTCCATCACTCCAGTTCTAATTTACTCCGCAACAACGGCAGTCGATCTCAGAGAGTCAGGGAGAGCGACAAGTAGATGGTCGATGGTGTTGGACCGTATGCCAACTATGCATGTTAGTTTGCACACAACTTACAGGAAATCACCACACACCGAGAGCTCGAGAGACCAAAAACACTTCCGAAGTGACTGAGTGAGGCGTGTTGATGCGCCAGGGCGCGTAATATCTGTCATATGAGATAGAGAGAGTGAGTCGGTGTGTGTGGGTTCCCAGATCAAGAGATCGCTAACAAGCGGTACCGGTACACTACAGCAGCAGCAGCAGCAGCATTAGAATGGCTCTTATGTATACAGCAGCAGAAAAATGCCGCGGAAAATGAAGAGGTGAGAAGCGTTTGGTAGAAGGAAAACATGTTTGTTCGTTGTTTGTTGGTCTCGGCCGAAAGGTTGTGGCAGCGAAAGCTTCGAGGAGCACTCACTCAACCAAGTTTTCTGATGCCGCGTTGTAACGTTGTAACAGGCGCTCTGTGGAGTGTCTTCAAAGTATGCATAGAAAAAAACGTTGCTGGATTTATTTTATTGCCTCCGTTGCGTGGTCTAGTTAGTAGGAGTAAGGAACAGGGAGAGAGAAAAGGACACAAACGAACACGCTCTACAATAAATCGGTTGGAATTGACGGTGGCGTTATGTTTGGGACGGCACCATTTTTTGTATATGTATACCAGGTTGTAGTGTGCATGCATGCACACAAGTTACATAGTTTTGTTGGTGTTCAACGTATATGACGCATGTGTTGGTGGTGCCCACCGGCGTTGTTTGTCTGCTTCTCTGTAATGTGAGACCTTCAGCATATGCATAGCTCTCCACACTCCCTTGCCATAAAAACTACTGGTAGATATATATATGCCGAGGAGCAAATCATGGTCAACGCATCTGGTGGCTGGCTCTTTGATACACTAAAAACATGTCACTGTTTTCTGTCGGTTCTTCCGTTGCTCGTGTCGGCGAGTGGAATATACCCCGCCTCTGCTATTCCGCGTACATGGGTAGGGTCTTCACGGCGACGAAGAGGATTCGGGGCGCACGGCTTCTCTTTCGCGCGCGGGTTGTTAACAGCAGTAGCTCGTACTGGCTGGTGCCGAACTGCATGTTGCGGACGCGTACGCTTGTACGTAGACGCTATCTTTTGTTGTGTCGTCGAAAACAGGAAATACGCAAAGCAAAAAATTCTTCGTGGGTTTAGCCAGCCATCCTGCATGTAGAGCAAGCAGCAAATGACGGACGGTGAAGCAAGCCACCAGGTAGATCACACGTATGCATATATTTACGCATACGAAAAGACACACACCCAACAGACGAAAAACAAATGGTCCGTCGAGAACGCAAAAACGCAAACTTGACGTTCACGGCGCAGTCGAGGCGTGTGTGTATGTAGCAGCTCGCGACTCACCGACTGCACCGCCCCCGTGCGAGGGTTGAGGGAGGCATAGGACCGCGCTCGGATGCTTTCCAGCGCCTCCTGTACGGCACCGCTGTTGTTGCTCGGGGTTTTCAATCCGGCGAAAGCCTGTTGCACACATGACATGACGGGTTGGTTGGGTGTGTTTTATAACAAGATAGGAGAGTAGCTCAGCAAGCAACGAGGAACACCATGGGGCATACGCTCCCCCCCCCACCCCGCGCTAAGACCTGAGAGTGCAGCAGCGGCAGGTCATCTCTCACGATTGGCTTCGTCCCCCTAACTTGAGCATGGCGAGACCCCACTCGGCACACACAAAGACAGCCAGCCGCCTGACGATTCTCACAATTTCCGATCAACCGGAAAATGAGGTTGAGCTGAACAGTGACACCTGGACTTGCTCACCATCTCCACGCGCCGGGACGGACAGCGACCTCTCCTCGCACGGCGATGCCAAGATCCTGCCTCGTGCTCGCCCCTCCCTTGCCCCTGTTTCCACCCTTCGATGCAGCGCGAGTCAGAATATGTCGGTGGGGTGAGTCGGGTGGTTCGAGTTTTGAAACCTGGGAGGGAGTTTACAAGCAGTACATTTTACCATCCGTGCGAAGGGATCTTTACTTCTAAATTTACTGTCTCCTCATTGGTTGGAGATGCGCGTGCGCGCGCTCCCTCGGTGAACCTCTTTTTGGTTCTATTCACAAAGCTCTCCTGGGGTGGGGAAACCCCGGCGCTGTAGCTAGCTACATTTCACCCACCAACAGCGGCTCGGAAATTGACACGGGCTCGATAAATAGTCAATTATGGGCTGAGCTGGAGCCAAAAAAACAAAAAGAAGAAAACGAATCCGAATCTCCGAATCTTCGAACAAACTCATTTTTATATCACCATTTTGCCCTCCAAGAGGAAAAGGGGGTATGTAGGATGTAGGACATTGCGTACCCCCCGCGGCTTGCCTGAAGCTGTGGAAGGTGCTGTGCAACTGGCTGGCTGCTGTGTCACGTTGTACTAGTGCTATTGTAGCTGCCTCGCCCACTCTCGCCGACATGACCAGGACACACAGATCGAGAAGAATACGGTTGCCAACACTGGCCGCGTGCATTGTCCTCCTCCAGCGGGGTAATTGTTTCCTCTTGATACCCAACACAGCAGCCAGAAGCGGCTCCCACCGGTTCCGATCAACAGCAACAGCAACTCTGCACCGCGCTGCTGCTGCTCCATCGCCATTTTCACCAGCGCGATGTAGGACGAGCGTGGTGGGCGGTAGGAGAGGGCGAGGAGGAGTGCAGATGATGGGGGGCGGGAACGCAGCAGCGGCTGCTGAAGCCTTGGAGGCCGAGGAGAAGGCGGAGCGGGAGGCCTTGAGGGCAAGGAATGATCAGGAGTGGCAGTTCTTCGACACGGCCAGGATCAACGTCAAGGCGGGGAAGGGCGGCAATGGGTGAGGCTGGGGTTTTGGGCTGACCTGTGTGATGATGGCGTCTTGGATTGAGGACCAATGCGCACAGCGTATTGGGTGTCTAGTCGTAGGTTGAGTTCACCATGTGTGTGTGCCATGCCATCTCGACCGCACGGGCGCGCTGAATGCAACTTGGAGGGAGGGTGACCTTGCCGGTGAACGAGCAAACGCCAGAGCTAACGCGAGCAAAACAGCCAAAAATGTCTGGCCCTGCCTAGATCGTGTGTGAAACACAGCAAACAACTACCTGGCACATGTTTCTAGACTTGCATTATTGGCACGGTTATAGGTGAGATCGGGTTCTTGCCAACGCACACCGAAACATGTCACATGCTGAAACATGTCACATGCTGTTACAGCAGTACAAACCTCTTTTCCCTTCCAACCCTCCAGCCCTCATGACTTTTCTTTGGGAGAGGTGTTTCGGAAGAAATGGCGATGGCCACGAAAGAGACCAAGGGATTGGCACAAAGCAGGCACGTTCGGCAGAGGAAGAGAGAGAGAGAAAGATTTTGGGGCCAATCACAATATTTTTGTCTACGCACGCTGTTGGTTGGGATTGGAACCTTCCGATTTTGACACGGGAGAAGAACGCATGCCTTCTGGCAAAAGCCGAACCCAAGCGCATACCCACCAGAAGGGCTTGTACCAACGAGCGCATCTACGAAGGGCAACATTGATCGCTAACCCCCCCGCACAGAAGTTTTTGCCACGCTCTACCTCTCGCTCGACTCGCAAACTCTCAAATCACACTTTTACGACAGGTGCATCGCAACGCGGCGCGAGAAGGGCATCTCCATGGGGGGCCCTAACGGGGGTTCCGGCGGTCGCGGCGGCTCCATCTTCCTCCGGTGCAGCGAGGGCCTCAATACGCTGGCCATGGTGCGCCACAAGGTGCACTACCGCGCCACGGACGGGCAGAACGGCCAGGGGAAGAGCCGGACAGGAAACTCGGGCGCGGACGTGTATGTGTCGGCCCCGCTGGGCACGGTGGTGCGGGACCAGGAGGGCGTCCTCTGCGGGGAGCTGACCGAGCACGACCAGGAGCTGCTGGTCGCGCGGGGGGGCAGGGGGGGGCGGGGTAACGAGGCCTTCAAGACGAGCCGCTCCAAGATCCCCATGTTCGGGGAGAAGGGGGAGCCCGGCGGGGAGCGGTGGCTGTCCATGGAGCTCAAGCTCGTCGCGGACGTGGGGTTCGTCGGGGTCCCGAACGCGGGCAAGAGCACCCTCCTGGCGGTGTCCTCGAACGCCAAGCCCAAGATCGCGGACTACCCGTTCACCACGGTTACCCCAAACCTGGGGGTGTGCGACGTGCTCGGGGATGAGGCCGAGGCCGGGATGGACAAGGGGCTGGTGCTCGCGGACATCCCGGGATTGCTCGAGGGGGCACACGAGGGGGTGGGACTCGGGCTGGCGTTCCTGAGGCACGTGCAGAGGTGTCGCGTGCTGGTCCACCTGGTGAGCGGAGACAGCGTCGACCCCGTCGGGGACTACCGCGCCATCCAGCAGGAGCTCGAGCTCTTCAGCCCCAAGCTCTTGAAGAAGCAGCAGGTGTGGTGTTGCGTGTGGTTTTGTTCATGCGTCGCCAAATAGTTGTTCGTCATCCGACCGCCGTTGTTAGGGTTAGTGGATCAAAGTAGCAGAACAGCGTGAGATTGGCAAAGGGATAGTTGCTGAGGCGCCAAAGAAACATGATTCAATTTCCGGTATTACACGATGTGTTTGGCACGGCTATTCCCCGTCCTCCCCCTAAGGGAGTTACAGAGCGAAAGAACGGTCTTGGTAATGGTAGCACCTCACGCGCTGTGCGACCTGCGCGTTCAATGTTGAGGACGCCACCGTTCGAAGACCCAAGCCTCAGGTGCTTTCCTGAAAACCGAAAGAAATGTTACGTACAGCGAAACGCGTCGCATGCTGCTGGCTTTGTTGAGGAATGCCCGGTCGTAGTTAAGTTGGAAGAGGTGCAGAGCGTGCGTTGACGACCTGACTTGGTGACTCAGAGATACGTAGCCTCTGGGTAGCGACGCGATAGCAGAGGCGAGCCTGATCTGTTCCCAAAAGGGTGAGATTGGTAACTGATGAAGTTATCCTGGAGGATGGATAAATAGCTTTCGAACGTCGCCATCATCAGCGCTTGGTCCCAGCATGAGCGTATTGCTATTTGACAAGTACGACAGAGTCTATTCTGCATGTGTTTCTTGCCGTTCAAGCGCCACCGGCTCAACGCAGCGACACCTTGCTCTACTCCCCCGCCCCCCCCTTCTCTTCAACCCACTTTCCGAAATGCCTTCGTTGACTCCCGATTGGTTAAACCAGGTAGTGGTGCTCACCAAGATCGATTTGCCTCACGTGAGGAGTAAACAGAAAGAACTCGAGAATTTGATAAAGGCGGAGTTGGACCACACCAGGTTTATGTCCATCAGGTAAGAGACAGAGACAGAGAGAGGGAGAGAAAGAGACAGAGAACGAAAGAGAGGGAGGACAGATGTTCTTTGCTGTGCGTTTCTGTTGGGTGCTGTGTGTACGATAGGCACGTGTCCGGTTTGTGTGTTCTCGATGCATGTGGGTAATGTGACAAGATGGGCTCGTCGGATGGACGTGGCAGTCGGTTATCAGGGATTTTGATTTAATCAATCTTGGTGCCGAAAAGTATTCATCACGCGAGCAGATTACCCGACAAGCACAAGCCTCGCCAGCACAAAAGGTTGTACGGAAGCACTTGGGAACATGAAAACGTCAACCAATCCGTTTTTACTGCTGTGCACGACTCTCAACCCCCCCCCCCCCCCCCCCCCCCCCCCCCCCCCCCCCCCCCCCCCCCAAAAAAAAAAACCCCCAACCACCCCCCAACCCCCCCACCCATTTTTATTTTTAACCCCCCTTCCCGCGCAAAAACCCCCAAAACTCTATCCCCCCCCCCCCAACCCCTTAAACCCCCCCCCCCCCCAAAAAACCCCTTTTAACCAAAAACCCACAAAAATTCCCACCCCCCCCCCCCCCAAAAAACCCCCCTCTTCCTCCAAAAAAACCCCCCCCCCCCCCCCCAATTTCCAAACCCCCCCCCCCCCCCCCCCCCAAATCCCCCAAAAACCAAAATTA